GCCGCCCCCATGCGGAGGGGCGGGCGCTGAGGGGGACACGGAGGGGACGCTGCGGCGCCCGGGGGTGACACTGTGCGGGTGCCATCAGCTGCTGCGTGATGCTGCCCCGGAGCAGCCTGGATAAAGCGCCGACCTGCCTGGAATGCCCCTTCCCAGGCCCGTGCACAGCAGGGCACCCGCGGGCGCCGTGTTACTCAGCACCCTGGGTACGGGCCCACGTACCCAGGGCACCGTTTTCTCCTCGTTTTTCCCCACTAGGACCTGACCTCTGCTGGCAGCTCTGCTCCACATCCCAGCACGTGGCCTGGGGAGGAGATTCCTGCAGGGAATGTCCGCACGGCCGGGATTTGAGCTGAGGGTCGGCTGGGTCTGAGGAAGGAGGCTGAGCTCAGCTGTGTGTCTGAAAACAGCCCCCGGGCCCTATGGCTGCGTATCCAAACACGAGACCTGGTTTTTGAGGTGGGACATCCCGTGTCTCCATCTGCCTGAGCTCGTTCCCAAGCGCTGGATCCGGAGGGAGCTGTGCATCCCAGGGCAAGGTCACTCCATGCTCGCTGGCTTCCTGCTGCAGCTCTGCCCTTTTGCAACGTTTCTCATTGCCTGACCTCAGTTTTGGATAGGGTTAGAACAGGCCGAGGTGCTGAAGGGATGACGTGGACACAGGCAGACTTGGTCCCAGTTGGAAACTGGAGCTGTTGGTTTTTCTCTTTCCTGTTCCTGCAGTTGGCAAATCTCCTGCCGAGCATTCGATGCCTCCTAACGCGCAGTGCGGGGCAGGATTTGGTCCGTGCACGGGCTTGGATTACGGAGGGATGTGCGCGGTGCCCACAGCATCCCTCTGCAGGCACGGACTTGCCTGGAAGGGACAAAGGGCTGCCGAGATACTAGAACAGTTGGGATGCAGGAGCAACGGGGCAGGGGGCAGGAACAGCCGGGATGTGGGAACGAGTGCGGGGGCGAGCGCAGGACACGCACCCGGCACAGGGCAGCCCAGGATCTCGGTGCGGAGGCAGATGGTGCCGTTGGGGAACCAGCTCTGCGGGTTGATGCGGATGAAACGTGCCACAACCGGCACCGGCAGCTCGTTCAGCACTGGCGTCTCCGGATCCTTGTTGCCCGGGAAAACCTGGCGGAGCCAAGAGGTTGCTGGGGCTGCAGCGTCGCGGATCTCCCATCCCATCCCATCCCATCCCACCCCACCCCATCCCACTCCATCCCATCCCCAGCTCAAGCCACTGTTGCTGCCGTGACCCTCGGAATGTCTCCTGCTCCATCACTGGGTGTCCAGCTGAAACGTGGGACACACGGAGATGCCCTCCTGGCTTGGGCAGGGCATCCTCAACCTGCCCTCCAGGCTGTGCTACCTGGAGCTTGGGGTGGTTGAGCTTCCTCCTCCAACCCACAGGAAAACATAGAAACATAGAATCATAGAATGCTCAAGGTTAGAAGGGACAGGTCATCTACAGGTCATCTAGTCCAACCCGCCTGCATACGCAGGGTCACCTAGAGCACGTGGCACAGGACTGTGTCCATTAAGAACTTTTTCCTTAAGTTCCTATGGAATTTTTGGTGTTTCAGTTTCCGGCCATTTCCTCTAGTCCTATCAGTGGCCACCACTGAAAAGAGACCATCACTGTCCTCTGCACTCCCTCCCTTGAGGTATTTATATACACTGATTAGATCCCCTCTCAGCCTTCTCTTCTCCAGGCTGAACAGGCCCAGCTCCCTCAGCCTCTCCTCATAGGGCAGATGTTTCAGGCCCCTGATCATCCTTGTAGCCCTGCGCTGGACTCTCTCCAGCAGCTCCACATCCCTCTTGTCCTGTGGAGCCCAGAACTGGACACAATGCTCCAGAAGGGAGTCTGATGGGAGCCCTTCAGGCCTTCCACCCACCTCTGCTGCCTTGGAAGGAGATGTTGAGGCTGCTGTGACCGAGCGGGATGGGCGCAGTGCCCACGGCTGGTTCCCTTCTCTCCCGGTGCAGACAAGGCTGGTTGTCCCCTGCCTGGGCTGTTGTCCCTCTACAGATTGTCCTGCTGGAGGAGCAGAGCCTGGCGCTCCGGTTTTGGAGCTCAGAGCATCCCGTGAGGGCTACGGACACCTGGGAGAGGGGCAGGACACAGCAGGGCTGGCCGGGGAGAGGCGGTCACTGTGCAGAGGTTAAGCTTGCTCCAAGCAAACACTTGCTCCAAACAGAAACAGGGAGTTAGTCTGGCTGCCGGGCAGGAAAGGGAGAGGCAAACAGTGGCATAGAGACACCTGAGGATCACGAGACCTTAAGCAGGGGGGATTTGCTGCAGGATGCACCCTGCAACCTGCCCAGGAACGTGCTGAGAGGCTGCAGGACGTGTGGACAACTGGATGACTCCTTTATTGACCAGAGGAATTTCCTTATCTGCACCATGCTAAGCTCGCGGAGCTCCTGGCTGTGAAGCCAGCAAGAAAACGGGATACGCAGGTGGTTTTGATCCAGGGAGCACGATCCAGGCACCCGAGGCCTCGTGGGCGTCCTCGCCACGTCGGGCTGCAACGAAACGGGGAGCAAACGGGAAGAACGTGGCTGGAAACCGCAGGATGCTGGATGTGGGAAAGGCAACGGGCCTATGTTGGTGGTGGAGGCCGTGTTAAAAGCACACCATCCCCTCCCAGAGTGGCGCTTGCAGGAGAATCCAGCAGTCAGTCGTGCACTCCAGGGAGGAACTGCTGCATTCGGAGCGAAAGGAACCCGGCAGCAACCGCCCTCAGGCGGGAAGAACGTGGCTGGAAACCGCAGGATGCTGGATGTGGGAAAGGCAACGGGCCTATGTTGGTGGTGGAGGCCGTGTTAAAAGCACACCATCCCCTCCCAGAGTGGCGCTTGCAGGAGAATCCAGCAGTCAGTCGTGCACTCCAGGGAGGAACTGCTGCATTCGGAGCGAAAGGACCCCGGCAGCAACCGCCCTCAGGAAAAGTGGCTGCTTTTTCTCCTGCTAAGTTTAAAAGTGAGGAAAAAGCTTGAAAATAGCAGCTCAGAGAGGTGCCACAGGCTCTCCAATGTCACCCGCACTTGGGGCACCCCAGCAGCAGCAGCCTGAGTATTTCACGGGTGCACACGGACAGGATCCCTCGGTCTCCTCTTCTCCAGCTTGCACAGGCCCAGCTCCCTCAGCCTTTTCTCCTACGATCAGGTGCTCCAGGCCCCTCAGCATCTTAGTGGCCGATTGCCGGATCCCTTCCTGTAGCTCCATGCCTTTTCCACCCTGGAGCGCCCAGATGTGGCCTCACCACGGCTGAGCAGAGGGGCAGCCCTCGACCTGCTTCAACACTCTTCTCAATGCAGCCCAGGAGACCACTGGCCTCCTTGGCCACCAGGGCACCTTGCTGGCTCACGGGCACCTTGTTGCCCACCAGGACCCCCAGGTCCTTCTCCACAGAGCTGCTCTGCAGCAGGGCAGCCTCAGTCTGTCCTCGTGCAGGGGCTGTTCCTCCCTAGTATAGGACCTTGCCCTTGCCTTGTTGACCTTCATGAGGTTCCCAGCTCCCAATATTACCCTCTTGGTGTTACTTCGCCTCTTCCTGCCCCAGCTTTGCTGTTTCTCGGAAAACAAAGTCGTTTCCTTTTTGAAACATCTAAGCCCGGATGCGTAACCAAAATCAGCTCTCAGGCTCCTTTCCCTTTTCCTTTCAGACACAAGGGCTGGTTCAGCGCTGAAGGTCAAGCTGGGCATCATGAGCAGACTTAAACACAG